GGGCCTCATGATCCCCTGTTGCCCGGGGGTCCCATGAGTTGTCAGTCCGCCCCTAGCAGTAAATCATGCTTGTTATACTCACTGTGGAACCAAAGGGGTTAATACTCTGCACTGTGTAAAAAGGCCGTCTTATCCTGTTTTATCTGTTCCTCCATTTTTTTAAGCAACCACCTCTTATCTCCTGATAAGACAGACTGAACGGTAGGCATTTGCACATGCTCAGTTTGGTGTGTATTGCTAGAGAGGTTTTTTTTTTCTTGGGAGAGTGCATGTGATCAGCACAGGGCCAATCAGCACTGGTCAGATAGAGGTCAGGGTTTTTGCATCCTCCTAGAGCAAAAAGAAAACTCCTCCTACAAACTTTAGCTAGTGCTGGGCTGGACACAGATAGAAGTCACTAGACTGCTGATGAGAAAAGGTATTTAGCAGTTTATATTTACTAAAATAATTGCACTTCCATATTCTGTGTACTGTGGGAGACCAGATATAGTGGATGCAGGGTCCTGGGTTTAGTAACACTTTAAGGTTGTGCCTAGAAGATGTCTACTTTGTACGGTGTATAAATACTGTAGAAAAGCCTAATCAAAGTGGAAGAGGTCAGGATTATGGTGGATCTCGTCCGCTCATCTCATGGACTCTCGCTGGAATTCCTATTCTCTGAGGAAGGTAAAACCCTTATGCACAGATAACCATGACCCATTGAACCTTTGTCAGTAGTCCACTGGGTAATCTCATCTCTGGCCCCCTTCCCCCTTTCTCTATTTCTCTATTCTCGCTATTTTCTCTTTTATTATTATTATTTTTTTTTTATTATTAATATACAGTATTTATATAGTGCCAACAGTTTGCTCAGCGCTGTACATTACAATGGGGGACAATACATGAGACAGGACAGTACAATAACAATACAATGCGATACATGAGGGGTTGAGGGCCCTGCTCCTTGGAGCTTATAATCTAGGAGGGAGGGGATAGTGGTACAGGAGGAAAAGCTGTGGGGGATGGAGTGGTAGGAAGAGTGGAGGAGATCGGCAATTAGCAGAGGGCGGGGTAAGCTTCCCTGAAGAGGTGGGTTTTCAGGGTGCGCCTAAAGGAGAGGAGAGTAGGTGAATATTGTCCTTCAAGATTGCAACACATGATGTTAAGATTCCCTTGCACCCCTTTTCTACCCCACACACTTAATTCACCCCTACACTTAACTCACTGGATGCATAACACCATCCCCTAATATACAGATCACCATGAGTAACTTTCCCATTTCTCCTACCCATTAAAGTGGTAGTAAACCAACTTTGTTCATTTTTACTTTCAGGTAAACTTATAATAAAGCTTACCTCTAGGTAAAATGAATATCTTCTAAACATGCACCATTTAGGGGATATTCGGTTTTTTTTTAGCTGGTGCATACACTCTGAAGGAATTACATACCTGTCCCGTTCCTTCAGAACATTGTGCCGTGGCTCGTGACTCCTATGTGCATGCGCAGGAGTGACGTCATCACGGTTCAGCCATTTAGTTGGCCAGAGCTCACTAACTTGGAAGGAAGACCGGGTAAAGATGGAAGCCTTTACAGCGGTGACAGCACGCCATTTCAAGGTAAGTTTTACATAATGTGCCAATATGCGATACATACCAGTACATTATGTCATTGCCTTGCATAGACTTTTTTATTTTAATGATGTTTACAACCACTTTAAACTACATTTAAAATACTAAATTACTTAATTTACTAGTTTAATGAAAGAAAGGAAAATATTTGCAAGTTATGGTGACTAAAGCTGTTTTATTATTGTTCTCTTTTATGTTGTTTGCATGTTGAACCAATACCTCTATCTTCTGTTAAGGATTTTGTATTGTATAGATTTTGTTTATGCTTGTACTAACTCAATAATGGATTGTAAATGGTTTGTTACCTATTGTTCTGAGAATCTATAAATAAAGAATAAAAAAAAATATATGGAAACATACAGTAGCCAACAGACTCATCTTTTATTTATGTAACTTTAGTAAAGCAGAATCTGATTGGGTAATCTGTGTTGCTAGATATTGCACATGTTAAAGCAGTATTAAACCCAAAACCAAAAAAGTAATACATGCAGCTTACCAATCATTCCCCTCTGCTTTCACCTGGTGATCTGGGCAGTAGCGCACATCCTGTATTCGAGTGCCGCACTCTGGATGAAGGAGCACCTTTGGACAGCAGCATTGTCAATCTGTGGGAGGGGGGAGTATTAGATGTAATAGCAGATTTAGATACACTAACAAACTAAAGCTGAACTCCAGCTTACACTTTCTATGCGGTTACTTCAGTTTTTTCTTCTTTTTTGCCATTTGGGATAAAATGAAGAAAAGCTGATCATTGTAATTACCCCGTCAGTGTTAAATGGTTTGTCTCATCCCTTTAGCTCATGGGTGCTCAACCTGTGGCCCTCCAGCTGTGGCAGAACTTCAAGTCCCATGAAGCATTGCAAGACTGACAGTTACAAGCATGGCTCCCAAAGGCATGATGGGACTTGAAGTTTCATAACTGCTGGAGGGCCACAGGTTGAGCACCCATGACATCTGCAGGAGAGCTTGTTATTTAACCACTTGCCTACCAGGCACTTATACCCCCTTATTTACCAGGCCAATTTTCAGCTTTCAGCGCTGCCGCACTTTGATTGACAATTGCGCGGTCATGCAACATTGTACCCATATGAAATTTTGATCATTTTTTTCTCACAAATAGAGCTTTCTTTTGGTGGTATTTAATCACCACTGGGCACTTTACTTTTTGTGCTATAAATAAAAAAATTGCCAAAAATTTGAAAAAAAAAAAAGTTTCTTTGTTTCTATTATAAAATTTTTCAAACAGGTAATTTTTCTAATATAAATAGTGAATTCTTGTGAGCTATTATGAATCGAGGTGTTCAATAAGTAACATATAGTAAAATCTTCTTATTAAGTGTATAAGGTGCGCTGGCACTTACACTGACTCACTTACTAGTGTGTATGAATGGTAAAAGATGGATTGCGCCGCGCTCCTATATATTAATATATTCAACTTATACTTCTAAGGTAAATATCGATTTCAATTTCAATGTCAATACTTGTGACTTGTGGCTATAACACTAAACATATATAAAAAATATACATATAAGTGATATACATAATAAATCCTAAAGTGATAGTGCCTTAATGGGTACCCTGGTATAAAACCATATTGCACCTCTATATTGCTGTGATCACTCTATTCACATTGTGCAAAAACATATACAAATTGTGCACGTGCTTATAAAAAGTAAATAAAATTATATATAAAGTCTTCCAAAGTAAATGTGCAAGTGAATTTTCTGTTCCTTCTTGCCGAGTGCTAAATGGTCTCCCTCTGTGCTCACCTCTATATTTGCCTGAATGAATCCAGGCAAATACGCTTTTTATCCTTCCAGGATAGATGAAATGGGATGATGCTCTTGCTCTAGCCGTCCCAGAAGGTGGACATGTATTAAGATGGATCCTCCTATTATCTCCTTTTTCTCCCTGTGTATCAATGAATACACTGACCAGCTCACTTGGGATCTCCCAATTCCCCTCCTGGGGTTGTTTCCTCGTTCACTCCTCCTTATGCCAGCTCATGGGGTGTTGGTCAAAAAGAAAAAAAGCAGACCATAGTGTCTTATCCTTGTACATAAAGGGAATTTATTTCTGCCAATTAGGATATTGCTCAGTGGCATACAGCTCATGTGTGATCCAAATAAGCATAGATGGCAATCAACAGGTAAAAAAAACTCTGCAGCTGCCCCTGCAGTGCTGTCTGCCTGCGCTTGTGCTTGGATCACCTCGCTTCTCCAGTGCAATGTCGTGACGTCAGAGCCCCTCCCCTACGCATTGCGTCACAGGGTCACGTGACTTCATCAGGGGGAATTTGATTGGATCCAATCAAATTCCCCCTGATGAAGTCACGTGACCCTGTGACGCAACGCGTAGGGGAGGGGCTCTGACGTCACGACATTGCACTGGAGAAGCGAGGTGATCCGAGCACAAGCGCAGGCAGACAGCACTGCAGGGGCAGCTGCAGAGTTTTTTTACCTGTTGATTGCCATCTATGCTTATTTGGATCACACATGAGCTGTATGCCACTGAGCAATATCCTAATTGGCAGAAATAAATTCCCTTTATGTACAAGGATAAGACACTATGGTCTGCTTTTTTTCTTTTTGACCAACACCCCATGAGCTGGCATAAGGAGGAGTGAACGAGGAAACAACCCCAGGAGGGGAATTGGGAGATCCCAAGTGAGCTGGTCAGTGTATTCATTGATACACAGGGAGAAAAAGGAGATAATAGGAGGATCCATCTTAATACATGTCCACCTTCTGGGACGGCTAGAGCAAGAGCATCATCCCATTTCATCTATCCTGGAAGGATAAAAAGCGTATTTGCCTGGATTCATTCAGGCAAATATAGAGGTGAGCACAGAGGGAGACCATTTAGTACTCGGCAAGAAGGAACAGAAAATTCACTTGCACATTTACTTTGGAAGACTTTATATATAATTTTATTTACTTTTTATAAGCACGTGCACAATTTGTATATGTTTTTGCACAATGTGAATAGAGTGATCACAGCAATATAGAGGTGCAATATGGTTTTATACCAGGGTACCCATTAAGGCACTATCACTTTAGGATTTATTATGTATATCACATATATGTATATTTTTTATATATGTTTAGTGTTATAGCCACAAGTCACAAGTATTGACATTGAAATTGAAATCGATATTTACCTTAGAAGTATAAGTTGAATATATTAATATATAGGAGAGCGGCGCAATCCAGGTAATTTTTTCTCCTTCACTGATGTGCGTTGATGAGGCAGCACTGATGGACACTGATAGGCGGCACGGATAGGCAGCACCAAAGGGCACTGATAGGCAGTACTAATGAGGTGGCACGGATAGGCGGCACTAATATGCAGCACTGATAGGTGGCACTGATAGGTGACACTGATGATGGGTACTGATAGATGGCACTGACTGGCATCACTGCTGGGCACTGACTGGTGGCACTGACTGGCACAACCACTGGGCACTGACTGGTGGCACTGACTGGCAGCACTGGTGGGTGGGCACAGGTGGGTGGCACTGGTGGGCAGCACTGGTGGGTGGGCACAGGTGGGTGGCACTGGTGTGCACAGGTGGGTGGCACTGGTGGGCACAGGTGGGTGGGCACACGTGGGTGGCACTGCTGGGCACAGGTAGGTGGCACTTCTGGGCACAGGTGTGTGACATTGCAGAGTGGCACAGGTGGGTGCACTGCTGGGCACAGGTGGGTGATCTGCTGGGCACAGGTGGGCGGAGCTAGTGGGCGCACTGCTGGGCACAGGTGGGCGGAACTTGTGGGTGGCACTGCTGGGCACCGATCATCAGGGCACTGATCATCAGTGCCCTGATGATCGGTGCCGATCCTCGCTCTGACAACTGCCGGTTCTCGGCAGTACTTTCCTCACGATCTGACAGCGTGAGGAAAGTGCAGCCGAGAACCGGCACTTGCATTTCCCTCTGATCAGCGTGTCATTGGACACCGCTGATCAGGTGGTAAAAGGCCGCTGTGATTGGCCTTTTACCACATCACGTGATCAGCTGTGTCCATAGGACACAGCGATCATGGAGATCGCCGGGTGCGCGCGCGCGTTCTGGGGGGACGTCATATGACGTCCACTCAGAACTGGCCGGCCGCAGTGCAGCCGTCATTCGGCTATCTGCGGTCGGCAACAAGTTAAAAAAACAGCAGAATGAACAGATCACCAGGTGAAAATGAGGGAAAGAAAGTCTAAAAAGAAAACGAATGCAACCATCACATCTAAGAAATGTTAAAGCGGAGTTCCACTCACCCTGTCAAAAAATAAAAGTCAGCTGCTACGAAAACTGTAGCGGCTGACTTTAAAAAAACAGCCACTTACCTGTCCCTTGGTCCCGTGGTGTGTCCCCCGCAGCCCGTTTCACCGGCCATCCAGGAGGCCGGCATCTTCAGTGTGGGCGCCCGGCTGTGACAGCTTGCGGCTTCACAGCCGGGTACCCACTGCGCATGCGCGCGTAGCGCTGTGCTTCATGAATGGTCCTGTAGTCTTCTGGGACCTGTCACATGTCCCAAAAGACTACAGGGAGGGAGGACACCTTCCGCTTCTGGTCGCCTAGGTGATCGCACCGAAAGTGGGAGCGGGTACCTGTCAAATTCGGGTACCCTCTTCCTCCCCGTCCCCCAAAGGTGCCAATCCTTAATGGGGAGTGGAGGAGCAGTCCTTAAAGCCGATCTTCCCCTTATGGGTGGAGCTCCGCTTTAAGCTGCAATATACTGTAATGTTTGCTTTTGTGTTTAATACCTCTTTAATTAATATTTGATATGGTTTATTGGGAAGGCCTATAGAAATAATATGTATACAGATGCCTACTTGCGTGTGTATGTTTTTTGTATTTTAAAAATTTGTATGAAGTCTTGTTTATTTTACCATGTATTCCAGAAAGAATTTATTAAATGTCAGTTTTCTTTCAGTTCCTGGTCATTTGTGCTGGGTGTAATTAGGCCTGTCAGTACGTACATTGCCATGCACACAAAATAGGCTGTTTACTGCCAGTTTGTCTTCATTTTCAGCAGGAAAATGTGCAAAAATTTCTAATCAAACTTAGAGGTCCGACAATTCTCTCAGACAATTTAACTCTGGAAAGGAGATTACTGAGCATCAGAAAAATCGGCAAGATGCAGACACGAGTCTAATACGGCTCACGCTGATGGCTTTATCATAATTCTTGCCGGGAATGGAGTTTATAAATGAGTTTTAGCAAGATCCCAGCATGAAAACTTGCATTGTGATGGGAAATTGTCATGTAAATTTCTGAGCAGCTGTCCCTTCAATATTTTAGTAAATCTGTTTGTGGCAAGACTGAATATCCAAAATGAAATAGCACAATGAAAATTCCCAGCAGGAACATTTAATGCAGTGAAAAGCAAAGTGTGACTGTGCCTCTGACCTGCAGTAACTTGGTGCTTAATGACTGTGCAGAAGGCTATTAAATGCTTCTAATCTATGCCAATGAGGCAGGTGAATCTGAGTCATCCATGCTCAACTTTTGGAGACAATAATCAAAAACACTGGAACTCGGGTAGTGAAAGGTAGATGGAAAATGAAGGCTTGAAATCCATAAAGAATGTACAGCCTACCTGCCTAGGGCTGTGGTCTTTTATTTTGGCATTGCTGGTTGAGTTTATTCCTGACTGTTAGCTATCATTGCTTCTGGATCGTATTCTGAATGTGCATATACAGTAACACAAAACAGAAATCAAATTGCTATAAGATCCAGAACTTTGAATATCATCATTGTTCTTTGCACTACTGTGCAATTTAGTATTTTAATCCCTCTTAATGCTCTCAAGTATGGTTAATGCTGAGACAATGTTGATTAACATGCTTTTTAATCAACGCGCACCTATGCATGCTCTTAGTGTGACAGCTGTAGGTCTCACATTAGCAATCAAACTAACCAACCACTGTGGTTCATAGTCATGGAATTACCATGACAGCCAGTGATCACATAAGGCTTTGTTTGCAAATAAACCAGCCCTTATTCTTTGTTCATTTGCTGGCACAATGACCATTGCAGCTGAGATTGCGCATTACAATAAAAAAGAAATTTTTAAAAATGTTTTACAAATGTTATTTAAATTTTTTTAGTATAAAATAACCATTTTTTATTTAAAATTTTTGTATGTCAACTGCTAAAAAGTACAATACAGCCCTTTTTTAAAATGTCTTCCTGCTCACTCCAGTATTACAGTAAAAGGTTCTGAATGCTTGAGGGCAGGGAGGATTGGCGATTATGTGTCCCCTATTATTTCTTTTAAAGAATTCCAGGTATGGCTAAATTATACTTAGCTATATTGGTCCAGCTTGGATGCATATACCATACGTGACTAATGCCCCTGGAAGCTGGAAACCATTGAAGCAGACAACACTACTCTAGTGATCTCCACTTGCTTCCCGGTCCTTTGCTGAGTGGCTGGCCTGATGCATTGTGAATACAGGAGATCAGCAACCCGCAGCATGGGTGCCATTCAGGGAATGCTTTGCAATTTCTGAATCAATGCAAAGCGTTCTTTGATTGAATGAGGTGGAGAGCATGATGTCACTCCCCTGCCTCTCTGCCTTGTCTAATTAGGAAATGCTTTGCATCCATTCAGAAGATGCAAAGCAATCGCTGAATGGCACCTATGCTGATTGGCCAACCTTCTGTGTTCAGTAAGCAGGAGTGCAGCTGCCTGATGGGCGACCTGGAAGCTGGTAGATATCACCGGAGTAGTGGTGTCTACTGATTTAGCCATACCTTTAAAGTAACACTACTATAGTAGAAAAACAAGTACAAATACCTTATTGAAAACTCTTTGTAAAACAAAATCCTAGTTGACAGCTATGTCGACCCATTAGCTTTAATACTTTAAATTTGCTGATTTGAATCCGGTATTCATATACAGAAAGTTAGAAATAGGCCTGAAAGTCCATGGGGGTTGATTTACTAAAACTGGAGAGTGAAAAAATCTGGTGCAGCTCTGCATAGAAACCAATCAGCTTCCAGTTTTTGTTTGTCAATATTTAATTGAACAAGCTGAAGTAAGAAGTTTATTGGCTACCATGCACAGCTGCACCAGATTTTGCACTCTCCAGTTTTAGTAAATCAACCCCATGTCCACATATTTGGATACTGTAGATAAGTGATAGATAATTCAAAGTGGAAAACAGATGAGGGCAGGAAACAGTACCAGACAACTAGTATTTTGTTATGACAGCGATGAGTAGATTAACTGGCCAATTGGCAGGCTTAGATGGAAGGAGGTAATACCAAGATTTGTATCTAATATCAACTGCTTTTATTCCAGGATTTATTTCTCCTGGAGTTTTCTATATACCTAATGTCCGCTTGTGCATTGTTTGTCATGCTCCATCTCAGTTGCCAACATTTCTGACAGGTTTACTTTATTGGACTATGTCCTTCAGGCACAATAGCCAGCCTCCCTCAGCAACCATATCTGAGACTTGTGTGTATTCAATTTCGTTTAGATTTACCTTCAACTACGTAGTGCAAGGGCCTGCCTGATTGAAATAATTGAATAAAAATGTAAAATGTTTAAGTCTGATATTATATGATTTTGGTAAACGTAAAGGAAAATTGTACATGAAAATTGTATAATGTATGGGCAGCCTAGTGGTTGGTATATGACAGCTTTAGGATTAGATAAAATTCATATTGTGAATATGGGTTTAAAGTTCAGTACTGAAGTGAAATGGTCAGTCTAGTAAATGTAATTGCCTGTCTTGATGACTTTAATTTCACCATGCGGAGGTGTCCTTACATGGAATGCTATGTCTGTATAGGCAATGCACAAACAATGGCAAGTAGCTGAAGACAGCTACTGCATGTATCCTGCTCTCTCACAGCAAGACATAGCATTTCAATGCTTGTCTTCAGACAAAGTGGATATTTCAAAACCGCATACAGTATAGCCTTTACAGAACAAAATAATAATAATCTTTAGTGTTGCCAAGTTTTCTGACTGTCCTGCGTTAAAGTAATAATTTCTCTGAAGTCTGAAATTGCAGCATATTTAGTATTGTCAAAGAGATGATTATGCATAAAAGCAGTTTAGATCAATATACATTAAGTAATCTTGTTGCACAAAGTAAGGTCACGATAGGGCAGCATTATGCCTGAATAAACAATGGGAAAGAGTCTCTTTAAAGTCAATCCCTTTAAAGCAGAACTAAAGGCATTTTTTTCACATTATGGAGAGAGTAACCACTATCAGATTCCTTTTTGTTATCTGTGTCCCACTGGGGAGATTTCCTGTCACTTCCTGTCCCATAACCAAAGCAGGAGATGAGAAGAGATTCCAAAGTGAAGGAGTCCCTGGTTGTCACCTGTAGGAATGATCTTAAGGTTCTGTCTGAACAGATGTTTGGAGGGAACATTGGCTGTTTAGGTGTTAGTATAATAATCAGGGGCGGACTGACCATTTGGAAACTCGGGCACTGCCTGAGGGCCCGGGGTCAGTAGGGGGCCCATGAGATGCCCCTGGTACCTTTTTCATAGGCATTTTTGAGTTTGGGCAATGACACAGGGGCCCCATGATCCCCTATTACCCTGGGGCCCCATGAGTTGTCAGTCTGCCCCTGATAATAATACTGCTATGATTGTGCATGACAGCTTCCTACTGTGAATGGTTGTTAAGGACGCTGGGCGGGTGCAGGCACCGCCAAGTTCTTGCCAAACCAGTGACATCCCAGACTTCATTCACTTACATGGTTGGGAATCCTTGATGAAGTAAGCAAATAAGAAATAGAGTGGGGGTTCCCCTAAAATTCATACCAGACCCTATAGGTCTGGTATCAATTTTAAGTGGGACCACATGCAAAAAAAAAAAAATGGTATGATGTCCCCCAAATTCTATATTGGACCTTTATTTAAACATGCAGCCTGACAGACCAGGAAAAGGAAAAATCCTCA